TTTCGAGATGGAAGAATTGTCAAAACGAAAAAGGCAAGCATCGATTGCAAGCTGCCAGACGGCAAAGAAATAATCGAGGCGCGATCGGTTGGAATCGGTCGAAATAAAACGACATTCAATGTAATATTCATTGCAATTCTATTGTGCAACTCTTTGTCTCATCATTGTTTGTTCTGTTTTCGTGCACTCGGTAGAGCAGAAGGGACGTGAAAACGTTTGACAGGTGCATGGAACACACTCGGTATCCTAATATCGAAAACGTATTGTGGTGATAGAAAATTAGAGAAATTGAAACACGAGAGAACAATTGGAACATTTGCAACTGCGCATCAGAACCACTCGATTGTGAACGTTTCCCCAAAAGCGCAAAGAATGATGTGATTTCAGTGGTGATCAACCGAGTTCAGTCGCTGTCATAGGCATATTTTAGTTATCAAGGCATGGGGGATCGAATCCGTTTCTTCTAATCACCCTTGATGATTAGCAGCTCCCCTACATCGCCCGCCGCTTCAATACCACTTAACTTATATAAGGGGCCCTATCGGGTCCGCTATTCCGGGATTCGTTTCCGGTTTCCGTGAATAAACAGGAGGTCATCGTTACTATGCGGTCCGCTGTTTTCTTTACACAAGAGTATGCACTAAAAACGCGAAGTCTTCATTAGTTGTGATGTGATCACACACACACACACACACACACACACAATCTTCTAATTAGATGATTAAAAAGGAGAACCACATGTTTAGACCACTGACGTCAAAGATGCCATGCAACATGGTTTTGCAAAACGATCGGAGAGATCATTGAACAACCGGCAGCATCAAAACTCGCAGACAAGAATATCTCGGAGAAGTCAAAAGTATTTGCTCTATTCCACCCGGACGGTGAATAGTCAGGAGTAGCAGCTACATAGATGAAGAAGCAGAACAGTAAACTGAACTGGATAACAATAATAGTTAAGTCAGGTCGGCTTGCAGTTCATTGTGGCCACGCTCAGGTTGACGGAAGAACCTGGATAGGAGTAAAGTACAACACAGGATTCGTACGTCCTATAATAGGTACATGGGTACTCCGAGTGGATTCCTGATATGGATGCACATTTGTTTCATTCGGTGTGCATAGGACGTTTAGGTTCGGTGAAAGTTCCCCGTTTTGGTAAACGTTTAACATGTCCGGAGAAGTTGAGAAGTGACTGTTTAGATAAGCCGAATGTGAGGTAAACGGTTTAATCAATCTCGTCTCTAAACTTCTCGCTGGCATCATACTTCGTCGACTGTCTGTCGCACATGAACGGTGCACATGTGAGAACCAGGCTAGCTTTAGACCTGAGAGAAGTTGTACCGAGCATATCTTCACTCTTCACCAAACTATGTAGCATCGACTTTCTTTTCATAGACTAATTATCTTTGTCTTTCTCGACCTGAAATCGGCTTTGGACTCAGCCGATCGCTCTAAACTCTGGCACTACCTTTCTATGAAAGGTGTGCCCAAGAAGTTAATTTCAATATTACAATCTCTCTATACTCATAGCCGAAGCCGAGCTTACGGCACTTTTTCGCACGAGTCTGGGTCACACAGGTCTCGTTAGGCTCCCTGGATGGGGACCTCGAGATGATCGTAACCGATGGTTAGAGACAATGAGTGATATGGCTGGGTGTGGTAAACAGTGGCGTTCGTGCATCTTGTCAGTTGCTCTGCAACATTATTCCACTGAAATTATAACTTTTCTCTTTGATCCTACTTTCAACTTCTCCTGTCTTTCTCCTAATGTCCAGCCAAAAGACTGCAACCAAAATAGACACACGATAGTGCATAGTTAATGATTGTACAAACTGAAACTGACTGAGGTAAATACCGAGTCAGGGTTTATTCAGCTGTGAAGTGCATCAGCTAAACTATGACATTTGCACTTCATTCGAGCTTAGACAGACTATGCTTGAAGTTGGTAAGACAGAAAGAAAACTGTGAACGACAGATTGTCGAGCAGACATATATACTGACCGTCCTCCGAAATTGCCTGTTTCGGAACAATATTGACTACGTGATCCTAACACAACATAACATATCAATCAACTTTGTGGACAAACACACACAGCCTCCTTTCGATCTTCGTCTTGGATCACGTGATACGTTGGTGAACAAGTGAGATGCCGTGGAGTGTGGATGATACGACTGTTCGCGAGGGAGATAGTGTTCAGGTTTCCAACTGACTCATTCTCTCTGGGGAGAACAGAGAGAGAGAGAGAGAGAGAGAGAGAATGACCGAAGATAGTTGCTCAAAATTAGATACGCTATGCCTGAATTGGCTTGATTAACCAGCCGCCTGTAGGGCATTTTTGTAGTACGCTTTCGATTCGTACGTACGTGAGGTACGGGATTCGGAGCACGAGGGCTCATCTAGTCCTATCCGGTTTTCAGCAGCTACAGTTCAGTTTGCCTTCGGTCCATAGGCAACGAATGTCATGAAGATAATCGAGTACGGGAGACTAGAAAGAAAAGTTTTCACTCTCACAGAATCATCTCACGAGGATGAATGCAATGTACCGATGATAACCAATCACAGACGGTGCTTAAAGTGTGTGTGTGTGTGTGTGTGTGTGTGTGTGTGTGTGTGTATCGCACGGCGGACGGAGGGGGGGGGGGGGGGG